AAACGCACACCCGACCTCAGCGCCCTTGCAAACCGCTCTGTTCCAAAGGAAAGCAGATCATGAGACGCTTGGGCATGCGCAGACAAGGGGGCGTCGCGGAATCACTGGATCCGCAGCGCATCCCTGTTTTCATTGGACCCCCGGAGCCTTCTTCACACGCAGGCCTTGCACTGCCCGCCCCCCCCCCCCGCCCCCAGTGACTCTCTCCCAAACAGGACAAGTGGCCCAGTTTACCCCGGAGGGGTTTACACCGGCGCGGGTGCGCAGACACTGGCTGAGCAAGGCTGAGCTAGTGGCTCGGTGGCTCCGTCCTGGATAATCCCCCAAGAACAAGCTATCAAGTCTGACTTCACCTGGGGCGCACGCAGGAGAGTTCTTAGCAGACGATATGCTAAACACTCTCCCAAAGTGAAGAAGAAACTTAAGAGGCTTAACAACGGCTGCAGAAATACAGCCATCAGCGATCGGGGTAACGGCCGCCAGCCACTTCCCACCTACGGGCCCAGATCTCGTTTTCAGCAGCTGCAGACGGCGCAGAGGAGTGTGTGGTCTCGGCGTGTCTGCAGGGGAGCGGGTCGGTTGGCATAAAACCTGCACGTGTATTATCTGCCTTTTGTGCGGAATGTGACGGAAACGAAATCACAATTGCGTACAGCGAGAGCCTGTCGGGAGGCAGAGTTTAGTACGGATCTTTCCGGAGAGGCGATGCTGCTCACTCAGAGGAGGCTCATGTTCGCAGACCAGAAATCGTTCCGTTCTGTGCGCATGGGCAGCAAATACCGGCGCAGCTCCTGGGAGCGGAGTGTCACCCTTTGCCTCTGCAGCGACGGTGAGCCGTGGCTCAGGGAGAAAAACCGTGTTGCCTCCTCTTCAGTCATAGAAGAAGAACCACCCATTCCCTCCAAGCATGGGCGTCGGGTAATACGTCAAACCTGGGCAGGAAGGTGGGTTGGCTCTCCGTGGCCCATCCGGGATGCTGAGACGCCGTGCTGTGGAATGGGTTCCCCGCCAACCCCCAAAGTAAGCCCCGAGCTGAAGCCTCGAGGTGAAAAGGACTTGGGGCTCTCCAGTGTGTGCATCCGTGGGCGAGTGCTGGGGCAGCATGAAGAACCCCCTGCACGCTTTCCCGTCATCGCTGGCGCCACGTTGCTGCAGTCATCCCGCTGAGCTCCTTCACCCGGGCAAGGGGAGGTGGGCGCGCGGGAGAGGCGCTGACACCCCCCCCCCCCCAGATCTCAGAATGCCTGCTGGAGGCCTGCTGTGTCCATCTCTTTCCAGGGCAACGCGGCACCCTCCAATAGATGACGGTCCTTTTGGCGAGTTCGGAACTCGACGCCCCTTGATCTGTTGGGAGGCTGGGAGGCCTTGCCCACCGCTGACACGGTCGTCCAGCTCCAACTGCGTAAAGAGGTACCGCCCCGACGCCGTGGTGACCGGGACATCACAGCCCGATCGTACGGAGTCATTTGTCATGCCCGGTGCTGGCGTTTGATTCCCGCGACTGATCTGCTCCTGGTGAGACGCACGGGTTCCGTGACCCTCATCTTAGCATCCTTCCCGGGCCGCGCTGCTCTCGGCCATCGCATTCGCCGCTCCCTCTCGCTCCGGAGGCGCTGCCAGCTTGGGCTGGTTTGAGCCGAGTGGGTTGGGCGAGGGGAAGTAGGCGATTTCCTCTGCCTCTTGTGGAGTTAATCTCTCATCCAGGTACTTCTGAAGCATCTCTTTCAGCAGCAGGCTTTCGGCCCGCGTTAGCAGCCGAACCGTCAAGAACGACTTGCTTCTCAACAACGCTCCAACTCCAAGTCCGAATGAGAGATGATTTCCTGGGCCCGAAGAAGACACAGTCAGCGCGTACCCTTCTTTCAACAGCGTACCCCTCCCTGTTGGGGGGAGACAGCGTGTTTCTCGCATCAGCGTGTGGCGAGCGGGGCCTGTGTGCGCCGACAGCCGTGTCTGGCGTCTCTTCCCGAGCCGGGTGAGGAGCAGGGCCTCCCAATAGTGTCACTGCCAGAAACACTCTTTGCTCTCATGTCACTATTCGGTATTTGGGGGCTTCCCTCCTGTCTGCATACATTTCCTCTGTTTATTTTTGAAAGATTTTATTTATTTAGTTTTAGGGAGACGGGAATGGGGGAGAGAGAGGCAGGAAGAGAAACACGGATGTGAGAGTGAAACATGCATCAGTGGCCTCTGGTTCGCGCCCCGACCAGGGACCGAACCCACAACCCAGGTATGTCCCCTGACCAGGAATTGAACCAGCGAACTTCTGCTTTGCAGGACGATGCCCAACCAACTAAGCCACACGGGTCAGGGCACCTCTGTTATTAAAAGTCCTATTTGGGTCTGCTGAGAGAACAGACTTTCTTACTATGGGTCTTGGATTTTTTAAGTTCACCCTGGTAGTCTAATCTTTACATTCCTTTGCCATGCTCCACCCCCCTCCTCTCCCCACAGCCCTACGCTGTCTGCCCACCAAATAGCTGCACGGGGTGGTCCGGCCGGACCTGAATCTAGAAAGTATCCACAGCTTCGCCTATCCCAGTTTTTCCTTTCCCCCCAAGTAAAACATGTGTCTCAAATAACATGTTTGGTTCAATACATTGCAACCTCTCAGATGTCACTCCTGTGGCAATGTGACTGCAAGGGAACATTTGCAAACATTTCCACAAAGGGGTCCTCCTTCCTCACCCCGACAAAAATATAGTGAAATCAGCATGCGTCCGTTTAAAATCCTTTTTTCCTTTCTGAGAGGCGTCTCTTTCCTTCCTTCCCCATCGACAGGAAGACATATATGCCCGCCTTCTCTACCCAAGGGTGGAACATTATATATTTTGCCATATGTACTCGGTGCACGGGGACTCCGAGGGGCCATAATACCTTTCGGCATAGTAGCGATTTTAATAATCTTGTGACAGGTTTTCTAACTGGTAGGTCTCTGGGGACCGGAGACCTGCCTCGTTCATGGGCGACCGCCTGGGGAGCCGTTCGCATCGGCGGTACATAATGTGCGGCGGGAACGCTCGCTGACATCGAACCTTCCTAGAAATCTGAGCCACCCCGAGTCTAAAGGGGCGTCCCCGTCACTCGGAAGACTTCCATCCCCTTCCTTCTGCGGTGCGTGAACGTACGCTGTGTCTCGGTCAAGGGTTAGGGAGAAAATTCAGGCCTTGGGCCCTGGCTGGCATAGCTCAGTGGATTGAGCTCGGGCTGTGAACCAAAGTGTTGCAGGTTCGATTCCTGGCCACGGTACATGCTTGGGTTGCAGGCCATAACCCCCAGCAACCGCACATTGATGTTTCTCTCTCTCTTTCTGTCTCTCTCCCTTCCCTCTCTAAAAGTGAATAAATAAAAAATCTTTAGAAAAAAAAATTCAGGCCTCATAACAGAGACACAACTCTGTGTTGCCACCATCTCTAACTTTTGAAAGATGTTAAAGGAAGCTACTTAGCTCAGGGCAGGTATTTCGGCTAAAGTGGCTCCTTCAAATTTGAATATATTCGTGTCTCCCGCTGGTTCTCTATGAGTGTTAGCTTGTTTCTCCGATGGGCATGGGGGAAACCAAGCCCGGTAATTTATGGCTCCTATTAAGGAGGTTGGCTGGACGTGTGGACAATATGCCAATAATTATTTCCGGGGGGCCCCTCCCAGCAGAGGAAGCACCTGTGCAGTGTGGCTTATTTTAGCAGAAGACAGATATGCCTGACCTGGGTTTTATGACAGATGTCAAGTATATTGAAGGGTGTTGTGAAGCAGATCGCCTTATTGGCAAAGAAATGAAAGACCTCCAGGAAGATGGATGGGGAGCTTTTCTCAAGGGTGTTCCTGTCTCTGTGTGCAGGTATGGCAATGAACTTGAAGAAGGGCAGATGGGCAGGCAAGGGTGAAGGCTGTGGCCTGTCCTTGACACTCGGAAATGAAGTCCCTGAGCCCTGGAGGGTTGATGGGAGAGGGCAGGGTGGGGTGGGGGGGCAGGGCTGGGCCTGGGGTGATGTCACAGAGGTCTCCCTGTGAGCCAGGCACTCCTTGCACGGGACACCCTGGGTGCTTCTTAGTCCTGCTCGAAAAATGTTGGCTCTCCAGGCTTCCTGCTTGAGTTTCGTTTGAGAAATACTTCTCGGGGGTCCTCCATGAGCCAACACTATGCCAAATCACTGCTGAATATCGCAGGGTCCCTGCTGTGGCCCTCGCTTCACTCACACGACTCTGCCTCTCCCTGGGCCCCGCACAGTGGGAGGGCAGGGAATCTTGGGGGGACAGTTGCTAGCTGCTGGGGGGCCTGGGGTAAGCTGCTCCACTTCTCCGAGACCCCTTTTCCTCAAGTGGAGAAAGGGGACTCGAACTCCTGCCTTGCAGAGTTGACAGGACTGATCGTAACAGCGTCTTTATGCCTGCCAAAATAGACTAGAACCGGAAGGATAAGGGGGAAATGAGAGTGCTCTCTGTTTATCCATCATCCTATTATTAATCATCATCACTATGATTCAGGCCATTTACAATATAGCCCCCTCCACTGAAATGATCTCCCGTTAGACCGCAAGCTCCCTGTGTCCCTAGACTCTGAACTCCCTCTGTCAAATACGGTCATCAGAAAACGGTGGCCCTTAGGACCGCCGTCTTACAGAAAGCCACCTTTGCTCGCGGTGATCCCGGTGGGTGTGGCCAGGGCACGGCAGAGCCAGCGGAGGGATTTCCGCCGCCGCCGCCGCTGGGCACCGCTGTGCTGGGTCCGACACACACAGTTGTCTGTGTGGCCCAGCTGCGCTGCACCATGTCACTCGGCACATATTTTCAAACTCAATTTAGAGCAGTCACTGATGCCAGAAGAGGGGCGTTGTGTTTTCAGAGATAAGTCATTGGAAAGACTTCTCGGACAAGGTGTACAGTCACGACGATAGTATTGGCCTCTTAAATGTTTCTTCCCCCGAGTTAATCATTAACACGAATACAGTATTTTGTTCCATTAAGGCGTTGTTGTTGTGGTTTTGTTTTTTGGTGACCAGAAGCATCAACACCGGCGTGAATCAGGAGAAAAACACGGAGGAGCCCAAGTGACACAAAGTGTTAAAGAAGAATATGCGTGTCCTCACTCATCTAGGACTGCTAAACGCAGGTAAGGGGGCCAAAGTAGAGCAGCTGGGACTGGCTTGCAGGGAAAGGCAGTTGTGACATAGAATATTAGTTGGTTTAACTATTTTTCCTTTTGCTAAAAGTACACTTCTTTTTTCCCCAAGATTTTATTTATTTATTTTTAGAGAGATGGGAAGGGAGAGAGAAAGAGAGGGAGAGAAACATCAATGTGTGGTTGCCTCTCGTACGCCCCCCACTGGGACCTGGCCTGCAACCCAGGCATGTGCCCTGACTGGGAATTGAACCTGTGACCCTTTGGTTCGTTGGCTGGCAGTCAATCCACTGAACCACACCAGCCAGGACTAAACGTACAATTCTTAATAGATGGAAGAACTGTACTGTTTTCTTATTTCTTTTGTCCCATTTTGTAAAGAAAAGATTTAAGAGTGAAGATCCTCCTTGCTTTCCATTCCCCTCCGTCCCACCCTTAATCTACTTGACTTTGAACTTGACCGAAGGGAAGTCTGTCTTGGGATAGGAACTGTTTTCTAGGGTTTGCTTCTCCAAGCCACCTGCCAAGGTGGTTTAACGGTTTCTGCATGGGGCAGACAACACAAGTCTCTCTAGAAAGAAAAAAGCAGGATCTAGTTTTTTTTTTATGGTAAATGATGGGATAAAACGAGGTACAAACAGACCCGAGAAAGGTGTTGCTTTGTGTGCGGGACCGTTCCTTTCACCGAAATCCTAAGGATGAAAGTGAGTCGTTTGCCGACGCCTGTCTCTTAGGCAGGCTTGAAATGATTTTTCAAATGATTTGAAATCACAGGAGATGTGATTTTTAGTTCAAATCTAGAAAATGTAGAATATGTCACTGGACCAAAGGAGGAGGAGCAAATGGGTTTCCGACCACAGGAGTATTTCACAAATTCATATTCTTTTCTTCATTTGGATTTTTTTTTGGTCCCCCTGCTCCTTTATTTCGCTTTGAATTTGTATTAAATTCGTTACATGCTCTTGAGGGACAGAGGTTCTCGAGGGCTTAATCGAGGTTGTAAGATGCTATGAATAAGAAAGGGGGGCTAGGAATTCACCCGTTGCTTCAGTGAACCAAGCGACGGCTCATCTCAATATGCCCTTCTCCCCCAGCAACTTCTAAGTCTCCAAGGCCTTTATTAACTTGATCTTTGGGAATAGTGTTTTAATTTTTTCCATAATCATCATGCAAATTGATCATGAGAATCTCTGGAAAGGAAAATAAGGGAACCCATGGCCTCATTAACTCCGGTGCTAGGGGACCCACGCTCCTAAGAGCGGGCGCCCTTTCTCCACTGCGGCCTCAGCCTTCTTTGTGCGTGCCTCGGGCCGGCCCCCAGTGGGAGCTGCGGCGTGTTCCTTGGCCGGCCTGTGTAAATTGCCTCATGCATTTTACTCCCTGACGAAACAATGGGGGAATGATTCGAAAGGTCTCCACCTTACGGAGGAGGCCTTTGCATGCGGCTGGATTCCAACCAGTCCCTGCAAGTCTCCTCTGACAGAGCCATGCTGCTATAATACACACGCGTCTCATCTAAACTTTATTTCACAAACATCAGGCTTGCAAATTGCTAACCTCCGGACAATAAATTGGGTCCGTCAGCATGAAAACGTACGGCTCAGATGCATCATTTTGCCTGCCGTTCTGCTGAATGAGGGGCGCTTTCTAAAAGAGCGTGTTTTAATTTTAATTTAACAGGGAGAATGGCAGAGACAAATAGATGTGTCCAAAAAATACTTAGTAACAGAGTTCTGAGCTCGTTGTTAATTTCCAGGCAGGCGAGCCCCCTTTTTCTTCTGACGAACTGTAAAACCCGGGAGAAAGCAGTATCACACGCAGCGCGCTTTTATTGATGGCCCTCGAGGTGCCAAGCAAGGTGTTAAATGCCTTCCAGCGCCGCCTCATTTATTCTCATTTTACAGGTGAGGAAAGGGGGGGGAGGGGCGATAGAGCTTGTCCAGCTCGAAAGGGGCAGAGGCATTTCCAGGTCTGCTTCATCGGGGGAAAAAAAGTTGGGACGCAACTTTTGGCAAATCAGCTACTTCAGAGCTTTTCGGAGCAAGGGCAGTCCTCAGTGGGCCTGGTCCGCTGGGAGTGGCTGAGTGTCGTGACCAGCCGGGTGAGGACAGTTGTCAACAGTGTCACCCACCACGCCCTGTGCACACTAGTGACTTCCACTGATGAACTCTCTTGTCCCCTTCGATGAAGCAAAAATAAAAGAATCACAAAACACCGCCCACTCATAGACAGACAACCGTACAGTGAGTACCGGAGGGAAAGGGGGTCGGGGGGGTAGAAGAGGGTGAAGGGGGGATAGACGGTGAGGGAGGAGACCTGACTCGGGGTGCTGAACACACAGTGCACGATACAGATGATGAGTTATAGAACTGTACACTGGAGGCCTATGTAATTACATTCACCAATGCCACCCTAATACGTTCCATTAAAAAAAAAGAAACAAAAGAGAGATTATCCCCTCAGACGTAGGACATACTCAGGAAGCTGGAAGTGGGAGGAATATCCAAATTACTAGATGGATTAGTTGATCAAATCTCTCCTCTCAAAACAGGCAGGTCCACCTATATGACTCTCTTTGGAAAAAATCCTGTGTCTCAGTTGCAATGAGGGATGTGTTACATATTTCTTAAAGTCCCTCTGATGTCTCTTGAGAAATTGTATAATAAATATGTGCCGACACCTACGATGTGTAAGGCACGGAATCCAAATGCAATGAAATGTGTCTTTGGTCAACACTTGTTGAGTGTCTGCTACACACTGGGGACTGGGCCGGGCGCTCCAGATGCAGATAGAAGAAGGTGGGCCTATGAACACATATGGGCAACATTAGAAAGATGACTCAGCCCTGGCCGGGTAGCTCAGTTGGTTGGAGCATCGTCCTGTATAACAGAAGGTTGTGGGTTCGATCCCTAGTCCAGGTGCATATGGGAGGCAACCAATTGATGTGTGTGTGTGTGTCTCTCTCTCTCCTCTTCCTCTCTCTCTAAGATCAATAAAACATATCCTTAGGTGAGGAGAAAGGAAGGAAGGAAGGAAGCAAGGAAGCAAGCCTAAAGCAGAGCAAGCAAAGGGGAGACTTGAAGAAGTCTTCGGAGAGCTGGGCCTTGAAGTTTACGTAAGAATTTTTCAGAAAGAAAGGTTGGGGAAAACACATTCTATTTGGAAGAACCTTCACATTGAACGTGACCAAACAAGGGTATTTTTTTTTTTTACCTTGGCCACAATTGGTTAAGGAAGGGCATGTTTAATGAAGGAGAGTTGGCACCAGAGTTGATTTATCTGCTAGGATGGTATTTTCTCAAACTATGCTCCAAAGAACACTAGTTTGAGATGTTAACTGGTATTGTTTGGGAAACCAGGAGGTTTTAGGGCCAAATGAAACGTGGGAACCCTAGGTTAGGCTGTTACACAGAACTCTTTCTTGCAGACACCCTCAGAGCCTCTGACGTACTCCTCTGTGTTAGTAATTCCCAAGAGCTTACCTAAACCTATTTGTCTTTCCTTTTCACAGTTCTTAAAGGGTCCCTGGATCTCTCAGTGCACAAGACTGCTTTAGCGGAGAGGCAGCTGTCAGCAGCCTTAAAGAAGCGCATGGTTTCTATTTTAGAACGAAACTCGGGCGGCTGGGAAGATGCACGCCCGTGGTAATAGATGGACGCAAGGCAACCTCTCCCCAGGCTGTTACATCCCTCTGAGCAAAAGCAACTGAGGAGCAGAATGAAGACACTGACCCCGGAAAGGAGGGCGTGGGGTGGAGTGATGCCCAGCTGGTAGGATGGGTGCGCCCTGACCTTGGGGAGGATGAGCGAGTAAAACAGTTGGAGGGGGGTTTCCTGGTTCCTAGTTGGGAAGCTTGCACTGTGAAGAGACATGTAGGATAGAACGTGAGAAAATTCACTTGATTTGGGATGTGATATAATTGAGGTGCCTGTAAGAACTAGAGATAGAGTTGGCCAACTCAGCCAGAAGTTAGAGATACATTGTATAGCAGTGTCTTTTTTTTCCTAGGAATGTCTTAGAGGTCACTGTAATTATTATTAAGTATTGCTTAATGATATATGTATAGAAATGCAGGTTATAGAGAGTTGTGTTTGTTTGTTTGTTTATTTAATCTGCACTAGAGGACATTGTTTCCATTGGAGAGGGAGAGAGAGAGAGAGAGAGAGAGAGAGAGAGAGACAGAGACAGAGACAAAGAGAGAGAAACATTGATTGGTTGCCTTCTGCACATGCCCCAACCAGGGATTGAACATGCAACCTGGGTATGTGCCCTGACTGGGAATCGAACCCACAGCCTTTTGGTGTACAGGATGATGCTCCAACCAGCTGAGCCACACTGGCCAAGGCAAGAGCTGTGTTTAATAGAAAGCCGAATATAAACTACTCATTAACTATATTTATTGAGATACTAACATGTATCAGCAACAGTGCATAAGGAAAAAGCAAGCAAAAAATACACAAATAAACCAAGAAATAAAAAAGAAAAGATGCAACCCTTGCTCAAGGAGCTTATTATCTTAAGATTACGAAGATATTACAAGCAGCCTAAGATCCTACCTGTGTTAGGGTATTGGAGCTTCCCCTTGCTAGATGACCTAGGGCAATGTATATAATTTTTTAAAGCTTGGTTTTTCTCATTTGTAAAATATCATTGGTAGAATAACTCCTCATTAAGAAATTGTGAGGATTAGCTGGGGTTAAACAAAAAAGTACTTACTGTATTTTGAATGTATAAAATAAATTTCTTTAGGAAATAATGTATGCATTGTAATCTATTTAATAAGTTTTACCGTCACTTTATTTGATTTCCAGTTAATACACAATAATAACCTGCCTATCTGAATTGCAAAAAATCAAGCTGGTTTGAATTAAAAAAGTGTGAAACATTCTTTGGTTGGCAAAATGCATCACACTTTCGTCAATTAAAAATAGGTAAAATGTGTTAAAAATAATGAAAAGTTCATACTTTAATTGAACTGGCTTTTTCATGAGCTTATATTTTTATGAAGCTTAATGAAAGAAAAACTCAAATGGTCCATTATGAAATCTGTTAATTGTTACTATTCCCATAAAGTTCACATGATTACAGAAAGTTTTGCAATTATGCCAAGTAGAAGTGTACAGTGCCCACCTTTCATTTTCTCTGGATTTAGTTTTTGATAATAAAGACCAGCATTCACCTTGGCAAGCAGAGCGTTCGCTAAATTAAAAACTTCCTTTAAACACACCAGAAACTTTTGACATAAGACTGCCAAAATTGCGGGGTATTTCTGTCAGGCTGACAAAACTCTCTTTGTTCCTCCTGGCTTCTCCACCAACGGTTATTCCAATGCTATCCTAATCTTAAATATCGTTGTGCTAGAAGGCACTGCGATATTAATTAAAAATATAGTCTAATTATTTACCCTAGTTGGTTCCTACAAACCTCCGCAGTGTAATCGGCGGGCTCCCGAAGGGGTTCCGCGGTGTTTGGGAGTGAAATAAGGAGGTCCGTCCCTGGCTGACTCACGGCTCACCAGTGTAATTAAGAGTGACCTCCAGCTCACCTTGAGGTCACCGGATCAAATATAACTCAGCTGGGCTCTGGCCAAAGGTATGTTGCCTGACCGCGGTTGGGCGGTCTACGTAAATGAGTGTGACTTTTCCCCCGCCTGCCTCCAGGCATGTCAGAGAACATGCTGGATGTTTCTGGAGACGGAGGAAAGAGGAAGATGGCCCACAGTCCAACAGACAGAGCTCCAGAAAGCAGCCCCAGAAAGGCCGGGCTGATGGGAGGTGTGCAGGGATGACTGGGCCCCCAACCCCTTTCCACTTCTGGCCTCAGGCTAGCCATGCTTTGGAAAGAAAGATTTTCTACTTCTTAGAGGTGCAGTGTGAGCACCTGGGCGTGCCCGGGGAAGCACAGCACGGTGCTTCCAAGCCAGGAGGGTAGATGTATCTTTAAATCCTTATATCTTTGGGCTTATCTAGCATTTTTTAACCAGGGAGAAATTGCTTCCAGAAGGAGACTCAGGGGGTCCACGGGTCTCCTCCACAGACACAGTGGCAGTAACAAATGGACTTCCTGACCTGAAATGTCCAGGCATCCCCTCACCCCCGCCCGTACAATTCCAATCCGTGTCTAAGAGCCCGACTCAGTGGGAACCGTCCCACTGCTGGCCCGAGGACGAACCAACAGTGTGAGCCAACACATAAAATGGTAAGAGACTTTGGGCAATGGGAAAAGGCAGTAAAAATAAGATCATATTCGGTTCTAGAGACTGGAAGTCATTATGGCACTCAGGGTGACTGGACTGCACCTTCCCTGGGAGACCTTGTGGAGGAGGAGAAGAACAAGGTTGTCTGGGTTCGATATGGAAGCTACTGGGTATTCTTGCGAAGTGGAGGAAGCAAGTGGCGTGGTTGAACCCACACAAGCAATTCAGTTGGCAGCTCTCAGTTCCTCCCAAGTCTGACCTGGGGGCGGGCCCTCCCATGACTGCCCTGATTGAATTCAACCTAAAACTCTGGCCGAGGAAAGTTAATGGATTCAGAGTAGAAACGGGCCACCTTAGTTTCTTAATTCAAAAGGTGCCAGCAGCCCAGAAACGGTATGATCAGAATAGCTTCTGGGGCTTCTCCTTCAGCATCCTCACGGGGTACAATGGACACCCCCAATTCTCCCCCACCCACGGCAACGAGGTTTTCTAACATGGACGAGGGCATGAGAGGTGTTGTGAAGAGAAACTGAACACGTGGAAATGGATGAAGAGACTCTTTTTTTATTGTTTTTATAGTTGAGTTTGGACCCTGATGACCTGACAGCTGGAGCACGTTGGCTGTCCCGGGTCTCACGTGCTCCTCTCTGGCCAGAGCAATTTTGTCAAACTCCACGTCCCCATCTGGAGGCCTTCAGCAGCTCTCCGGAGCTGGGACTGCACAGAGGTCCTTGATGGGGCACCCCGGCCTCCATGCTATGGTCCCTGCCAGTCTCCCCTAAGCGACTCCCCGAGATTTTTGCACAATAGAGCTTCCCAAACTGGTTCCTCAGAACGCCGGGTTAGTGAGATGTTATCAGGTGCTCTGTTGGGGAAAAAAACCCCAAACAAAAACAACAACAAAAAACTACAGACAAGCAAACAATCAAACAGAAACAAAACAAGGAGAGTGGGGGTAGATTGTCAAATAAGCTGGTAAAAAAACCCCCAGCATATAATAATATTCTCTATCATTAGTGATTATTATCATCATTGTTATCATTATCACTTTTGTTACTAGCTACTATTAAAAAAATCTCCCTTTTTTGATCTGCTGACTGCGCATGTCCAATATTCCAGGGCATCAACATTCTTGAATATTCTGGGCAGCCACCCCCCACAGGCTGCCTTTCTGTCTGCAGGGCAGAGAGAGGGGTGTAGACACGCCCATGGCCCAGCCGGAAGGGCCTGCCTCCCAGAGAGGGAGGGTCTGCAACAGCTTCGCTCTCCAGTTCACCCAGCCATCCACGGTGAATGCCATCAGCAGACAGGAATCAGCGCCGCGCATCCGACTTCTGTTTTGATGGGAATGCTATGTGTTGTTGGAGGAGGTGCGTGGTTCCTGCTTGTGGCTGACTGGCCCACCTGGTGCAGGTGGCCCGGACATCAGGGGACACTCAGCTGAAAGTCAGTGGTGGGCAGAATCAGCTCTTCCGTTGCCTTAGGTTAGATTTCCCTTGAATCTTGGCATGTGATTGTCTAGGATGTGACAGTTCAGTAAAAGAAAGTGTCAAAGGCCCTTTGATAGTTGACATGATAAGGATATGCAAATTAAGAAGAAAGAGTGTTATAGATGCATATATATTTTTTCATGTTACTATCCATTCATCAAATGTTTCCTGAGCACCCACTCCAGGCTGAGCACAGTTACAGGTAGTGGTGATATAACGGGGAACAAAAGATAGGCACCCCCATTGGAAGGGGGCTTAATTCTGGATGGAGAACGTGGAACACAAACCAGTGAATGGAGGCACATATAACCTTCTGAGCGGTGGTGAAACCCAAACTGCAAGGGAGGGCGCATTAGGGAGGCCAGGGAAGGCCTCTGTTAAGATAACGTTTGAGCAAAGGTGTGAAGGAAATGTGAGAAGGACGTAGGGTGGGCAACTCTGCAAAGGAAAGGGACCCTGTCCCAGGCGAGAGAGGGAAGGCAAAGCCAGCAAGAGTGGCTCGAGGCTCCGTAACGACACAGGCCACCTTTTCCGGCGAAGTCAGGAAGTTTGTACTCTTCTGTAAGGGAGCTGGGAAGAAAGGTGTGGGTTTAGGCAAAAGAACTATATTCGTGTTTTTCAAAGGTCCTTCGGGCTGTGTGGAGTGGGCAAGGGGCTGAAGAGAGTAAAATGGTGATGGAGAGATGACAATAGATATGACCATTAGTTGAGTAAGAGATGCTAGCTCGGACTAGACCAGTGTCACCAGTGAGCTTTTGGTCCATCTAATCTCTGTGGTCACAGGCTGCCCCGGGCACTGTGGGATGTTTAGCCGTCTCCCTGGTCCCTGCCAACTGAAGGACAAACAGACAAACAGTCCGGAGTGGTCCAGTTCCCTAATGGAGAATCACTAGATCGTGCTGCTGGACAACAGAATGGGAGGGGACAGATCTGTGAGATCTCAGAGGCAGAGTCACTGAGAGCTGATGGGAGCGGACTGGCAATGGGGAAGACGAACGGGAGCAGAGAGGAGCGCAGGGGACGGCCCCGGTGGAAGACGCTCTGGTGGCCGAGCTAGACCACGCTCAAGAAGGGGCAGGTTTGCTGCCCAGGAGACTTGCTTAGGGCTGGAAGCACAGTGCTGGGGCGGCCTGTGAGACACCCCCGCCCTGGGTGGACATGAGAGAAGCAAGTTGAATTTCCAGGCCTGGAGTGCAGGAGTGAGGCCTGGATTGTTATAGGGGTGGCTGGTGGCTGGTGCTCAGGGCCATTATGGGAATAGAAGGGGACAATTAGGGAGCTACGCAGAGGGAGGAAGAAGAGAATAGAGCCGAAGATAGAGCTGCAAGAGATCCAAGGAACTGTGGACTAAAGGAGGCGCCAGCAAGGAGGCCAGGAGACTCACTGGAGCCTGTGATCCCTGGGGGGCTGCACCTGAAACAGCGTGGCGGTCAAGGTCAGGGCTCTGGAGTCCAACCGACCTGACTCTGAGTCTGGACTCCACCGCTTACACTTCCTTACGGGACCTTACGCCCATTACTAAGCCTTGCGGTATTGTTGGGAGGAATCAGATGCAATGCTGTATTTGAAATCTTCAGCACCGTGGCTGGCTTCTCGTAGATGTTCAGTAAGTGGCAAGTGGAGAAAGATACGGGGAATCATTAACTGCAGAAGGCACGCCTCGATGGAGGGAGAGACGGGGACAGTCTCTAGAGTTGTTCAGCTGCAAGCCTTGGCAGCTTAATAGAGGGGCAGCAGCGTCTCCACTGGCGTGCCTGAGTAGGATCTGCTGTAACCCTACACAGCCCAAAGCTGGCGTGCCCGCGAGAAACGTAATGAAAACGTAATGTTTTCCTCCCATTCGGCCCCGCGCCGAACGGATACAATTTAGAGTCTCAGATTCCAGGACGTAGAGTAATTGTTTGCTCTACGTCCACGTTAGCCCAGTTCAGAACACCTGTGGACGACGTTCTTTTGATGCACGAAAGCCTGTCTTTTATTAAGCGCTTTGCGAGCAGTCAA